AGTTTGAACTGCCATCCTTGTGGTTAAAACCAACATTGAGGTTGAGTGCTTATCCTAAGGTGCCACACCAGGACTCCTGCTGGTATTTAAAATACTGGTGGTATAAATTCCAAAATCACAGCAGCATGCAAGCCACCACAAGCAAACCGCCAGATGAGCTGTGGAGTTTAATGACTAAGGTGCACCTGGCCCTAGCCATGGTATTTTCAATAACCTCATATGTATGTGAGAGTTGGACAATGAATAAAGAAGACCATAGGATAATTGATGCATTTGAGTTATGATGTTGGAGGAGAATATTAAAAGTACCATGCGTTGCCAAAAGAATAAAACAATCTATGTTGAAAGAGGTACAGCCAGAGTGTTCCTTAGAAGTCAGGATGGCCAAACTTCATCTTTAATACTTTGGACATATTGTCAGGAGGGACCGGTCCCTGGAGAAGGACATTATACTTAGTAAAGTGAAGCATCAGTGAAAAAGAAGAAGACCCCAAATGAGATGGACTGGCACAGTGGCAGTAGCAATGGGCTCAAGCATAACAATGATTGTGAGGTTGGCACAGGACAAGGCAGTGTTTAGTTCTGTTGTGCATAAGGCACTAAGAGTCAGTACTGACTTGAAAGCACATAACCACAACTTTGCCAAGGTACTGATTCCTCCTGCTTACATGCCAAAAGTATGTGAGATATAGTCTCGCCAGCTCACTATTAAGAAGTGTTCTGGCTATACTTCTTCTAAGACTACCCATGGCATACTCAACATTCTTCACCAACATTGGTTTTCAAATGCGTCAGTTGTTTTTATGTCTTCCTTATTCATTGTCCAACTTTCATACGCACATGAGGTGTATAAAAATACTAAATCTTCAGACAGGTGCCAATTTAGTCCTCAAAGTTACATCTTTGCTCTTTAACACTTTCAAGAGGTCTTTAGCTGCAAATTTGCCAATGTAATACATCATTTGATTATCTTGATTACTGCTTCCATGAGCATTGATTGTGAATCCAAGTAAAATGAAACCATTGACAACTTCTATATTTTCTCCGTATATCATGATACATAACTATTTTTGGTTTTTGGTTTTTTTTGGTTTTTTATTTGGGAGATGTTCCTAAATGTTAAACAGATTTTTAAGAATTATAACAAATGAACTTGTGGCACAGTTGGAAGAACTAGAGATGTTTTACCACAAAAGAGGGGCATCAGGGACATTGGAACTCTTAAAATACCTGAAGGACTGACGGGTGTAAAAAGGGCTTGAGCTTGCTGCTTTCCTGAGTAAACAAGAACTATTGCAGGGAAACTGAAGGCAAGACATTAACAGTTGAGTGTAATTTTTAAAAGCACCTTTTTTAGGAGTCCAAATTTGCCAAAACAATGGGGTGGGAGCGTATAATAAATTTGCTGTCACCTGAGCTATTTCAAAATAGACTGGAGGATAATGTAGCATGTATTTGCCTACGGAAAGGGGTACAGTATGGGCTCTGGTGAGGAAAATTGAGGTATGATAATCATTTGGATGGTGTGACCTTTAAGAATGTGTGGTTCTTCACAACCTCAGACCAAATAAGGTTTCACTCTTGCCTCCAAACTCTGAAACCTATCTTCCCATCTGTTTGCAATAGTTTAAATTTTAATCTATTTCATATTTCAGGGTATTATGTCCTGAATATTTGATTTGAATGCTATGGCAGAGGTCACTCATATTCATTTATTTTCTTTTACTCTTATACACTTGCAGTGAATCTTTTGAATTCATTATGCAAACACATGCAAATCACATGCAAATTGTGTGGCTTCAGAAAATGACAAAATCTTACAGCCTTAACTGAGCCATCAAACCTTTCTTTAAAAAGGAAAATAATATGCCTTTTTCTCATTTCTGGGGCAGGAGACAATTTCCTGAGTGTGATATTTACATGACATTGGAATTGGTTGCTCAGAGGAGTCTTTGTCTCATATTCTTCACATTTATGTAGGGCTTCGGGGTTAAGAAAGCTTTTTCACAAATGTGATCCCATTTGATCCTCATAATTACCCTGTGATATAAGCAGATAGGAATTATAATTTCAGTATGGCAGATGAGGAAGTAAAGAAGTTAAGTGACTTGCCCAAGGTCGCTCAGTTGTTAAACAAGGTAGCTGAAACTAGAACCTGATTTCCTTCCCGTCCAGATGCCTTTCCATTAAACCATGACCGGCGTCATCTACACAGCAAGGAGCTCTGTCATTGTTTTGAGCTTACTTAGATCATGGTTTACTAAAAGCACCTTCAGGAGTGTTTTTGCTAATGAGGATGGCTTTTTAAGGGTGACCAGAAAAGCTAAATATTTGTAATAACCCTGACATAATGCCAAGTACACAGTTTCTCCAAATCTCTCTGCTTTTTCAGCATATACATTGAAATGTCTGGATGAAGAGCCATTTTACCACTCCCAACTCATCCTTCAACTTTTTCAGAAGACAAAATTTATATTTAATAAAACAGGCAGCAATAGCACAGGTTCTGTAATGAGATCCTAATCCACTTAGTCCTAATCCCCTACTGACTAGTTATATAGCCATAGAGAGGTTATTTAATTTTTCTACACAGCAATTTTCACATCTTCAGAATGGGCAACACAGTAGCACTAAACAGTAGCTATTTTCATTATTATTACTATATTACTCTGGTAGTGTAGTGGTTACGAATCGGGCTGCGAACCATAAGCCCAGCAGTTCAAAACTACCAGCCACTCTGCAGGAGAAAAATGAGGCTTTTTGCTCCCGTAAAGATTTACAGCCTCGGAAACCCCGTACAGGGTCGCTTTGGGTCGGAACCGACTCGACGGCACTTAACAACAACAACAAATAGTAATATAGTAGTCCTGGTATGGCGTTGCAGGATGAGCAATTGACCACAAAGTTGTTTGAACAACAAATTCGTCAGTTCAAACTCACCAACCACTCATTGGAAACCCAAAACAGGGTTACTATGTGTCAGAACTGACTCAGTGGCATTTAACAACAACAAAGCATCAGTTTGCACATCTTTAGAATGAGGTAAACAGTAGCTATTATCATTATTATTAATAGTAGTATAGGACTTCTGGTGTGGTGCTATAGGATAAGCACAGAACTGCAAGATCAGTTTGAACCTCGAGGTCGGTAGTTCAAACTCACCAGTCAGTCCTCGGAAACCCTATACTGACTGGATCGTTATGAGTCAGAAGTGGCTTGATGGCACTTAACAACTACAATAGTACCTCAAGTCATTTTGAACTCTGATAATAAGAAGTGGGCTCTAGCAAATGGAATGGGAGAAGAGTAATACTACATATCTACTATATATATGGAGTCCTGGTGTGGCGCTGTGAGTTAAGGCACCAGACTGCAAAGCCGTTTGAACTCCAAGGTTGACGGTTCAAGCTCACCAGCTGCTCCTCAAAAACCCTATACAGGGTCGCTATGGGTCAGAATCTACTCAACGGCACTTAACAACAACAACTATACATGTCCAAGGGCTAAGAATGGATCTGAGGTAGCTTAAGTCAACCCATTAAAGGACATTTCAGCCTTAATATTGATTTTCATTAATCACTACCCCATCTTAATGAGAAGAACCTCAGTTCTGCTTCAAAGCTGCCATGTCTAAGAATAAATGAATCCTGGCTGGCATCTTTAGCTCTGCTCTGTCCAAGGAAGGCTGTTATTTTATTACAGTGTCCCTCACTTTCATAGACCAGGTTAAAAGAACCTGGTTTTAATGGGCCTGAATCACCTAGACCAGGAACAGGGAACCTTTTGTCTGCCAAAATATACAATATTTTGAGGGCCATACAAAATTTTTAACTTAAAAATTATCCCTCTATATTTAGTCAAACATTTAATTAGCTCATCCCTAATGTGATGGCTGGCACTGTGGTTGCCTTGGCAAGACCAGACCAAATGATTGGACATTCCCCTCCCCTGATTTTGGGGAGAGATGGATTAACTCTCCTCCTGTATTAAAGCCCTGGGGTGGCTCTGTAGGATAAGCACTCAAACACAAGTCTATTTGAATCGCAAGATCAGCGGTTCAAACTCACCAGCCACTCTTCAGAAACCCTATATAGGGTCACTATGAATCAGAACCAACCCAACAGCACTTCACTGAACTTGTATTAAGGCCCTAGAGGTCCAGGGGTTACACTTCCAAAAGTTAACCAAGTCAGAGATTCAAACCTGCCAATCACTCCATGGGAGAAAGATATGGTGCTCTGCTTCAAACGATTACAGCCTTAGAAACCCTAGGGGCAGCTCTACTCTGTCCTGAAATTTCTCTGTGAGTTGCAACTGACTCAGCAGTAATGGGTTGTACTAAAGCTAGAGGTGAGAGTAGAAGAGGTGACTGCAAAGCAAGGAGAAGACACATTACTATTCTAGGGAACAAGTGACCCTGTTTGCTCTTAGTCCAACTCAAACTCCAGTAGGTGCTATTGCTGGGCTTCATCATTCCATCTACTCCCACTGAGTGCTTCACCCTTCTTGTATGTCCGCGGACCTGTCCTAGTCACTCACCTGAGACAACTACCAAAGTTGGTAGCGCTTCCTCTTTCCATAGTCTCTCTCCTGAAAGAAGACTGAAGGCTTTTGGAGTTGACCAGACCCTGTAAAGGCAAGAGGAATCATCACTGAGAGCCCATGTGACTAGCTCAAGAGGGTTGAGAACTCCTCTTGAACTAGTCTAAGTACTCCAAGCCAATTTTTACTTGCCAGGAAATGTACTGGGCCATTCTAGGGCTGGGTCTTTTGCTATTTTTGGCAAGGATGGGTAGTATGCAAAAGGACTTCCCCATTTTTTTATTTTTTGCAGCATGGAGCCACTGAATGCTTAACAGTCAACACCATTTCTTGTTCTGAGATCACTCCTGTGTGCCCTCTTGTAGCTGCCAAATTGCTGGAACCATCATAGCTTGATTTGATTTTTTCAGTTCAAGGCATTTGACAGGCCCACCAAGTTGCGTTGTATTGGTCCCATGATGGCACCTGCTGTCAGCTGCTTGCTTTTGGCAGTGCTGTTTGCTGCTGCCTGTAGAGTCATCATCTCCTCGGATCAGATGTGCACTGAGGTGAGTCCAAACTCTTTGTCTTTATTCACATAAAACTGCCTCCCAATTTGGAGATTCAGCATGCACTGCTATTTGAGCCTCAGCACACTAATAGCTTATATCTTTAAAAGAGGAACTAGAATGCATGGAGATTTTTACTTAGTGTGAGAATTGAGCTCAAGAGTATAGCCAGGAAATGGGCTGATAGAATCTTGGTAGGAAGAAATGAGAATTTTCTTCTTCTTCAACAATCACCCCCCAAACAATCCCATTTGCGACAATGAGACCAATAGGTCTCCATGCAAAGATCTGAGACCTCAAACTTATTGCCCTAGTGTGTCCAGTATCCCAACACATGTCCCCCTACTTCAAATAGTCCCCTTGTTTCCTGGCTCTCAAGGAGGAGAATAGAAAAAAGAAAGACCTGTGCCAAGTTTTAGAGTATTTAAAAGATCACTCTCCAAGAGTCTGGCTTTCTTTTCGAGTTGGACAACCCTCCATCTGTTTTACTAAACCACAGGAGTAAAATCTGAGAAAAGAGCCAAATTGCACCTTCTGTTTTGGACCATAACAATATTTATCAACCTGTGGGAAGTTCTTGGCAGAGATAATGAAAGACAGAATGGAGAGGGGCCTCCCTCCATCTCTTGCCATCTTCTAAAATACTTCAACCTTCCTCTCACTGTATTTGATCCAGGCAAGTGTCCAGCCCCACATGGCCTATCTCTGTCAAGCACTGTGGACAGGAAGGACCATCAGTCTTGGTGGCTTGGCAGCCTGCTTTACTAGCTTGCAACTGAAAGAAGGTTAAGAACCAAGAGTAGCAGGATGAGAAGGAAAAAGGATGAGGGATGATGCTGAGGCAGCTCCTGGGCATCTCAGTCTAGAGAGTTGTGAGGGAAAACAAGATGAAGATCTGCCAAAGAAGAACAAGAATCAGAGCCAGGACTGGAATAATGCCTAGAACCAAAAGGGAACCTTGTTAGTCCTGTATTAGGACAGAACTGGGACATTCTCAGGCCAGGAGATGATACAATACCCAGGGAAAATGAGGCTGTCTCCTCATCAGTCCAGTTGGTATGGCAATTTAACACAAACGTTTAGCAGACAAATCAGGGTCTAGGAGCCAGGAGAGTATCCCCTCAGTCATCAGTGCAACTTACATTTAATGTATCTCATGGCAACATCTTCAGATGTGATCATATTACTGTCAAATTCCGACTCAGGTTCCTCAGGTGTTTGAAATGTACTCCCTCTCAACCCTACAATTTCAACTCTCAGATCTCTGCTTCAGTGTCAGTGCAAAGCCTGTGCAGCCCTTCTGAAACCCACAAGGAAGTCCCTAGGAAGGACCAGTATTTCTGGAGAATCTGAACTGCTCCTGGCTATACCGTATATAATCAAGTTCCAGAGTGGCCAGTTCCTTTTTACAAAAGAAAGGGAAAAGAGACAGGGAGGGGACCCAAGTCTTTTTGCTGCCTGTTCTGGAATCTTCAGTACTACTCAGGAGGTAACAAGAGTGGCGCTGGGGTGGTGGGTGCTTGTCACAGGCTCTCTAGGGCTGACACTCACTGCTGCAAGAAGTTCCTAGTTGGATAAGTCAGTTGAGAACAAAACCTTCCTGCTTGCATCAGTGTCTCCAATTATAACTGGCCTTGTGTCTGTCCTATTAAATTTACATGGGGCCTACATTTTCTTTGTTCTCTTGTGTCATGTGTGAATTCTTAGCAGCAGGACTCTAAGGTTATTTATTGAGCCCTTACTGCGTGAATACTGGGGAAGAAGGGAGGAGATACAAAGTTGAATGAGACCTTGCCCCTTATTCTAAGGAACTTCTAGGCTGCAAGCAAGTGGGATAAAAAGGAGAGTGGTAGGGGAGGAGAACCTGTGTGTTTCATTAAATTTTGATCCTTTTCAAGTACAATATATACTAGCTTTGCAATTTATCAAACTGCAAATAATTCCTCGTAACCTATATCTTGCCTTTTTATTTTCCTTTCCTCTTTTGTTCTTCCTCCAAGTTTATGCTTAGTTGCCCACATGCTCAATATATGTTCATATAATCAGGTCTTATTCTGACAACAAAGATTTGGACTTTTGTTTTGGTTTTCTTGACTTTAAACTCATAAGTTTTTACTGAAGTAAAACATACATACAGGAACATTCATTAATCATCGTGTGCAGCTGAATTCATTCTCACCAAGTGAACACATCTATCTAACCAGAACACAGAAATAAAACTTAATCAGCACCTCAGAAGCAATTCATAGTCACAACCCTACACCCATCCACTGAAAGGAATCCACTTCCTAAACTTCTATCACCATAGATTGGCTTTGTCTGCTGCTGAACTTTATATATATATGGAAACATACAGTGTGGACTCTTTTATGTCCATTTGTTTTCATTCAACATTGCATTTGTGAGATTTCTCTATGAAGTTTTGCACAGCATTATTCATGTTTATCACTGAATGGTATTCTGCTGTATTTATGGTATGGCACTGTAGGATAAGCACTGGACTGCTACCTACATGGTCAACAGTTCAAACCCACCAGCCACTCCTCAGGAACCCCATACAGGGTCCCTAGGTGTCAGAACTTGACTTTACAGCACTTAACAACAACAACATTGTGAATGGACATTTGCATTATTTCCAATTTGGGGGTTGTCTTAGGCTGGGATCTTTAGAGAAACAAAACCAATGACGCTTATCTATTCTATGGAAAGAGAAGCTTTTATCAACATTTACACAGATGTAGAAATGGACAAGTCCACACTCCATAGGTCATATGTCAGGCTAGAGGTTACTGATTCCTGTAGCTTAAAGATAGTAAACCAAACTTGATAGATCAGAAAGCAGACAGGCTAGGTAGGAAAGTCCAAAGATAGACTCAATTCCAAAGGAGCAGAGGTCAGATGATGAGGCAAATGCAGGGTCCAGACCAGCAGAAACCAACAAGCTCTATCCGAGTGTCCGAAGAGTTGGAAGCAGGTCACATCCCTGAGCAAATTTCCTTGCAATTGACTGGCTCTTCATAGCAGATCTCATCAAAGAAGTGATTACATGATATTAGATCTCTTCATGGGAGATGGCTAGATCTTAACTGCCAAACCACTGAGAATCCCGGCCTAGCCACGTTGACACAAAACCTTAACTCTCACAGGGACTGTTATAAATAATGCTACTGTGGGCATTCTTATTCAGATGGTTAATGAACAAATATATAAATCTTTATTAATTATATAACTAAGCATGGATTTGTTGGGTTTTAGAGTATACATAAACTTCAGTTTTGCTAGTTTTCCAAAGTATTGGTACCAATTTATGCTCATCAGCAATATGAGTATGAGCATTCTGACTGCTCTGCAGGCTCCCTAACATGTGTTATGATTTGTTTCTAAAATGTTAGCCATTCCAGTGGGTCGCTGTTGTTATATGCTGACGAGTAGATTCTAACTCATAGTGATCCTGGATAGGGTTTCCAAGAAGCAACTGTGAATTTGAACTGTCAACCTTGTGGTTCAAAGTCCAGTGCTGATCTTATAGCACCACATGAGGAATCCGTTCCAGTGGGTAGGGAGTAGAATTTCACTGGGGTTTACTTTTCATTTTCCTGATAAATTGTTAAGTTGTAAGCTTTTTGTTGGACATTTGCTTATCCTTCTTCTGAGATGCTGGTTCAAATCTTTTGCTCATTTTTTCTTGGGTTGTCACTATTTTCATTGGTTTATAGGAGCTCTTTTTGTATTGTGGCTACAAGTACTTTATCAAATAGTATTTTCTCCAGTTCTATGGCTTGTCTTTTCAGTATCCTAATGGTAATTTCTGAAGTCCTAGTGTGGTACTGTGGGTAAATGCGCTGGACTGTAAAGCTGGTTTGAACCGTAATGTCAGTGGTCCAAAATCACCAGTCATTGCTAAGGGTGTGAACTGACTCTACCTCTACAGCACTTAGCAACAACAATAATAACAACAATGGTACTTTTAAAGGAACTGTGATAGTGCTGTAGGATAAGCAATCAAACCCCACCAGCTGTTCTTCAAGACAAAGATGAAGGGTTCTGCATGCATAAAGATTTCTGCATACATAAAGATTTACAGTCTAGGAAACCTTGTGAGTCAGAATTGACTCGTTGATGAACAAAAACTCTTAATTTTAACATAGTCTAATTTATCATCTTCATTTATTATTATTGCATTTTGGTCCTGTTTGAAAATCTTTGCCTATCACAAGACCATGAAGATATTATCCTATATTCTTCTAGCAATTTACTGAGGACTTGAAACACTGACGAAGAACAAAGATAACCACATTCAATTTGAATTGCACCTCAATAGAAGGAAAACAAAAATCCTTACAACTGGACTAATAAATCGTTATGATAAGCAGAGAAAATATTGAAGTTATCAAAGACTTCATTTTGCTTGGCTCCACAATCAACAATCATAGAAGCATCATTCAAGTATCATTCATATTGTATTTTTAGGCAAATCTTCTGCAAAAGACCATTTTAAAGTGTTAAAGAGCAAAGATATTACTCTAAGAACTAAGATACCTCTGACCCAAGCCATGGTATTGAATCAATTGCCTCATATGCATGTGTATATTGGACAAGGAATATGGAAGAATGTAGAAGAATGAATGCCTTTGAATTCTGGTTTGGAGAAGAATATTGAAAACACCCTGAACTGCCAGAAGAACAAACAAATCTGTGTTGGAAGAATACAGTCAGAGTGCTCCTTAGCAGTCAGGCTGTTGAGAGTCTCTTGCTCTCTGGACATGTTTTCAGGAGAGATCAGTCCCTGAAGAAGGACATTATGCTTGGGAAAGTGAAAGGTCCGCATAAAAAGGAAGAGCTCCAACAAGATAAAATTGACACAAGGGCAGCTAAAATGGGCACAGACATAACGACAATTGTGAAGATGGCTCAGGATGAGGCAGTGTTTTAGTCTTTTGTGCATAAGCTCCTTATAAATAGGAACTGACTTGATGGCACCTAAGAGGAGCAGAGGCAAG